GAGCAGTATACCGCAAGGATAGACTATAATAAAGATATATATATAACAAAATGCCATCTAATTCAAACCCCACCGGTTCCTCCTTGTATCGCCTTCAAGATAGACAAGTCCTCTAACATTCAGAAATTGAGCCTTTGTCTGGTTTGAAGTCAGTACTTCATGCATTTCTTTAAAGCCAAGAAAAACAGAGAATTAACTAGAAAAGAATACAAAAACTTTTTTTCAGTGATAGGGGACTTTCGTGAATGCCCATTACAACCAAGACGGCCATAATACAGTTGTCATCTGATCATCTGAATACATGCAATATGTGTGCAGATGATGGAGCATTACTTCAGTTCAACGATAAAATTGACAAAAGTAAAAGTAGTGTCCTTTTAAAATTTGTGTCTTCAAGTGATGGGAATTTAAAGACAGTAGATATTTATTTAAGGTAGAATCGCATAATAAAATCTCGCATTCTGATTGGTCAACGAAGCGAAGTATTTAGGCTAGGTGATATTGCTTCGCATCTATGTAAACATAGCAACTATCGTCAAATTGTAACAAAGTTTTCTACAATGTCATTTAAAGTGTTTTCAAAACCATTTTCACCTTTTGAAGAGCCAAAAACAAACAAAAGCGTTTTTCAAAGTGAGCCAGAGGTTCTTCCCTGTTTTGAAATGAACTACAAATTCTTGGAGAGGCATAAAAAACCTCTTTCGCTCGCGAAAACGAGAAAGCGAGAAAATCCTGTGAACGCGGCCCATAAAATGGCAAGCAAAAGTTCAACCAAACAAGACGAAGAGGCGACAACGGAAGAAGTGACAGGGTCGATTGTCATATATATAGAAGAGGAAATAAATACCTTTAATCGCGATGTTAAACTTTCAGAGCTTTCCCTTGGACACTTCATTTCTTTCAGTTTTGCCACCAAATAGGTAAAAGGAGTAAATTATATTCCTTCTTTGGAAATTTGAAAAAAGATGTTAAAGATAAACGGCTTGTAAATTCAGTGAAATACCACTATTATCCTTAAGATTGTGTGAAGCTTGTTTAAAGGTTTGAAAACAAATCTTAAAACAAGCGCAAGGTACAAATAAAGTTGTCGAAAATTCAAATGTGTACGATTGACCTTGCTTCTCATTCGCTAAGTCAATGACAGATTTGACAGTTGACTTTGAAATGGCTTTCTGGGGCGCGCGCTCAGGATAAAAACAAACAATATTATTACTGTTCTCTTTTTTTTTCTTATTTTTATTCAGTTATGCGATTCAAGGAAAATCCATTTCCTGGCCCGTTAATTCCGCGTTAAATTGCACTTGAAAACCGGTATCGCACTCATCGCTTCATGATTTGTGCTATATCGGTTTTCGCGTACAATTTAACGTGGAATTCTCTCGTCAGGTAATGAATTTTCCTATAGAATGGCATAGCTAAGGGTAAACTCGCGGTCTGATTGGCCATCGAAGAAAGGGTATTTACCATGGAATTGCACTTGTGCATGAAGTGACATTGCCCGAATCGTGAAGCCATGAGTACGATATCGGTTTTTCAAGTGAAATTTAACGTGGAAATCACTCGTCAGGCAGTGAATTTTTCTATAGAATCGCCTCACTCAGAGGACTTACACAAAAAAACCATTCACTAATGGCCATTTATTAAGAGAAAATGCTCTTTAACTTTATTGAACACTTATTTTCAGCTGTTTAAAGCCTAGATTAGTTCGCATCTTCTCTTAATGTGAATTAATCGTAAAACGGATCGCAAAATTGTTTCCGTCAAGTTTTTGGAAATATTTTCGCAAAGGGTTCTCTTGTTTTGGTTTAATTCAGCTAGGTTTCTTTTATATGGAATTTATGATCGGAGACGGCCGTGTTTCTACATTTCTTAATATACCTTGACTGACACCTCCAAGGAACTTGTATTCAGCGATTCGGTTATAGGTGGCCGAGTTTGTAAACAACTTCCACTTTACAACTTCT